GTGTGTGTGTGTGTGTGTGTGTGTGTGTGTGTGTGTGTGTGTGTGTGTGCGTGTGCGTGTGCGTGTGTGTGTGTGTGGCAAATGTTTCAACTAAAGTCCAATAAATATGTACTCAAAAAACCCAGTGAAGATAAGTGGTTCGAAAAATGGATGGATTTATGAACGTCAGGATCCTGGATGAACTTTTCACTCATGTTCACATCGTAAGAATTGGATTACAACTTCAAAACAATAACTTCTGTACAGTGTTGTGTCTCTAAACATAAAGGAGGGCAGACCAGTGATACTCTTCACTCATTCATCGCCATTTCTACCTTTGTATCCGAAGAGGACATCTTAAATGAAAAGAAAAGATGACAACACGAACGATGGTAAATGACAAACTAGTTAAGACCTTTTACCTGTATCTCTTCCTCATATTTGACAGACGATTTAGTGAAATGTGATCCAGGGGTGCACTGCCACACCTGCAGACACGAAAGAAGATATTTGTTATTCTGCAGATGGACTTTTCATGACACCAGTTGCATAAGCACTCTGCTCTGTTTCAAGTTCCCTGCAGTCCTGCCTTTCCGGCAAGCTAAAGTTAAAACATTGGCAAAAGATGGCCAGTGTCCATCAGAGTGACCATTGTTAAAATGCGTTGATCCAACAGTGAAAACAACAGTTCCATGGCTAAACATTACAAATGCCTGTCTGGATTCAATAATAGTTTCCCTGAAATGTTGGCTAGCAGATCAATCTGTGCTCTCCACAGCCATGTTTATGTATGTGTCAGAGAAGTGTTTCACTGATTCTTGCAGTCTCTCGCAGTTGGTCTCAGAAGCATGTTGTTTGAATTACAAAGAGCCAGGAATAGCAACATAAGAGGAAAATACCAGTCCAACAAATTCCAATCAACTTAGCACACTACAGATGTCATGAAACTCACAGGACATTATGACAGATGTAGACAAAACAAAGTGGCCTCTAATGTTTCTATACACTGGCCAAACCACAAAATGCCAATAATATTCTGTTTATAACATTTTGTTAACCTAACCTTGTGCAAGTCTACAACCGATTTGACCTACTTTGGAGCCGATGCTTCTTTAGGGTCAGTTGCTATGGAGTAAAGATGAAGTGTTGTCAAACTGGCATCAACAAGCACAGCACAGCACATCGTTTAACATTAAACAGAGGCAGTGCAGTGGCACAGAGGTTAGCACTGCCCCCCC